GTGAAACCTGAAATCATATAAAAGCTTGATTTCGTGATTGACAACATATTTGCTATGTTTGGAGACGTGTTTTTCAACAAAACAATCGGCTTTCCCATCGAACCAACTGTCCGTCTCTTCTTGTCGACTTGTTCCTTTATTCATATGCGTCTGACTTCATACATGAGCTTCTTAGGAAGAATGTAAAGAAGCTAGCATTATCCTTTAACTTCACGTTCCGCTATATAGATGATGTCCTCTCACTAAATAATTCAAAGTTTGGCGACTATGTTGAACGCATCTATCCCCTCGAACTTAAAATACAGGATACAATAGATACAGTTAAGTCTGCCTCATAACATTTTTTTGGTACAGAAAAATATCTGGAATTAAAAAGAATTTAAAGATAGACAAGCACTGCGCAAGATCAGAATAAGTGCATACCCCTTAAAATAGAGACGGACAGATATGCAAAAAACTATATGGATAAATATAGATTATGTAAAAAATGCACGTTGGATAAAGTTGAAGAACATTTTATATGTAAATGTCCCCTTTATAATCTCTTGAGAAAAGAGTTTTTTTTATGAAAAAAATTCGAAATGTTAAACACAAATGCCAAGTTTAATTGACTTTTTATTCAAGAAAACCTAGAGGTATTGAAAATTATTGCAATTTATATTAATAAATGTTTTGAACTCAGAAAACTATCAATATAGTACAGATATGTTTATATATAACCCACTGAGAATATTTGCGTGTTAATATTAAATATAATAGGTATGCTATTTTACTTATATGTGTATGACTCTGATCTGGCTGTGGTTTAAGTTCTTAGAATTGAGATGATTATATTCATATTTATATATGATTATCAAAATTATTGTCAATTATCTACATCATTGTAATAAATTACTTTGCTCTTCATGGGCCCTTTAATTGGAATAAAAATATCTCATCTTACCTTATCTTATCTTGACTAACATTTGGAAATTGACAATGAGGATGGGTTGTGAACAAAACTTAACGACAAGAGAGATGATTTCGTCTCTCCAATTGAGTATTTTCCATTTATAGGTAGCAGCATTCCAGGAGCACCTGCATATATATGGAGTATATATCTCCCAGTTGATACTATATTCAAGAGCTAGCATTTCCTATCATGATTTCCTTGACAGAGGGTTGTTGCTTACAAGGAAACTATTGAACCAAGAGTTCCAAATGGTGAAGTTGAAATCGTCCCTTCCAAATTTTAAATACCCTATCAAGAGTTGTTTAACCGTTATGGAATATCTGTTTCAGATGACGGATATGTTCCAATTGTTGTACTACAATCCTGTCCTCTTTTTCTTGAATATGACCTACTAAATTAGATTTATCACCAGATTTGTACATGATCAACACAATGGGGGTAACATGTGGAGCAGGATTTGCTTACCCGTCCAGAGCAACCGAGATCACCCCGGTTTTTGTGGGGTTCGTGTTGCTCAATCTTTAGTTTTCTATGTTGTGTTTTGTGTATTCGTTGTTTTTTTGTTTTTACCATGGCATTGTCAGTTTGTTTTCGACTTATGGGTTTTAATATCTCTTTGGTATCTTTTGCCTCTCTTTTGGTGTCTTCTCTCTTTTCATTTGTAAAGTTATTGTTATAGATGAGCTGAGGCTTACAATTTAATCTTAATTTTTAATACTAACCACAACAATTATGGTTCTTCTTAAAAAATCTGTTTTAATTAACCACATAAAATATTATCTAATTTATTAAAACATGTATCTACAAACAAAAAACTACAACCACTGAACAGAGCCCACAAACGCATACTCCCCAACTTCCCATTTGTAATATAGAATTAAAAATTTTGCTATTTGGAAACCCCAAAAACCTCTTCAAAAAAATAAAATGACGGAGATGCTAATTAGAATAACAGAAAAAACATTCTGTGAACTTTTAAATGTGCATATTTAATAAGAAGTTCTGGATACAAGATGCTTTTGCAAATTTGTATAAATCAGTGACATGCTATAGGAAACTCAAAAGTAAATATAATAAAAGACGCACAATAATAATGGGTACTAATTATTCTCTGAAATCTCTTAGTTGGATCCAGTCAGTGGTATCGGAGTTTTAGATACAAAGAGTTGAGGGAGGGACACTTAAAACGAGCAAAACTATCACTTTTAATATACCACACTTTTAATTGAGTGTGGTATACTAAATTAATAAAAACATAATGTTGAGTGCACTTACTTGTGAATTACTGATTCAACTAATTCAAAGTCTGATACACAATGCAACATTAATAGGAAACAGCATATATAGTAATAAACTGTTATCACAGAGATATGTCTCGCCTTTTTGTAATTTTGATAATGCAAAAGTTGAAATAAAAATAGCAATACTTTAACATGTAAGTTATGCAAATATTCAAAGTCGATGAACCATGACTGAAGGTACATCATCATGGCTAAACAATCTCCATGGAATGATTTGTGCCAATGCTAATACAACTGCATACCAAATACCATTGACTTATTATAAGTCATTCACTTTAAAATAAAATACTCCGCTGGGGCGCAGCTTGATACGACCGCAGAGGTCAAACCCGGAACAGTTGGGGCAAGTATGGACACAACATTCAAGCTTGATACAGTACTGAATTTGGATTGTATTTAAATATTTGACACAGCATAGGTTTCTGACACAGAATGCATGTGGTCTAAGAACTTAAAAATTTTTAATTTACCTATTCAAACCATATCATTATTATTTGCTTTTATATATAAATCAGAAATAACCAATTTAAAATGGAAAATTTTAAAGAAAAAAAATGAAAAAAAAATCCCCCCAAATTTTTTGAACCCCCTTATGATTCATCACCCCCTAACTCAATCCCAGCCTTCCCTTTGTGGTATGGTACCTTGCACTACAATTTCAGAGAGATCCATACACTTGAACACAAGTTATTGTCTGGAAACTAGAAAAATGCTTATTTTTGGTCCCTTTTTGGCCCCAAATTCCTAAACATTTAGGGCAATTACCCCCAAACTCAAACCTAGCTTTCCCTTCGTGATATGGAACCTTGCAGTACAATTTCATAAAGATCCATACACTTGCACACAAGTTATTGTCCTGAAACTAGAAAAGTGCTTTTTTTTTGCCCCTTTATGGCCCCTAATTCCTAAAATTTTGAGGGAATTACCCCAAAAATCAATCCCAGCCTTCCCTTTGTAGTATGGTACCTTGCAGTACAATTTCAGAGGGAGATCCATACACTTGAACACAAGTTATTGTCTGGAAACTAGAAAAATGCATATTTTTGGCCCCTTTTTGGCCCCTTATTCCTAAATGTTTTGGGCAATTACCCCCAAACTCAATTCCAGCTTTTCCTTTGTGATATGGAACCTTGTAGTACAATTTCATAAAGATCCATACACTTACACACAAGTTATTGTCATGAAACTAGAAAAATGCTTGTTTTTTGGCCCCTTATTCCTAAAATTTGGAGGCAGTTACCCCCAAAATCAATCTCAGCATTCCCTTTGTGAAATGGAACCTTGTGGTACAATGTCAGAGAGATCCATACACTTACACACAAGTTATTGTCATAAAACTAGAAAAATGCTTGTTTTTTGCCCCTTTTTGGCCCCTAATTCCTTAAATTTGGAGGCAATTACCCCCAAAATCAATCCCAGCATTCCCTTTGTGATATGGAACCTTGTGGTACAATGTCAGAGAGATCCATACACTAACACACAAGTTATGTCTGGAAGTTACAAAAATGCTTATTTTTGGCCCCTTTTTGGCCCCTAATTCCTTAACTATCGGTACCATAACCCCCAAAATCAATCCCCACCTTCCTTTTGTGGTATTGAACCTGATGGTAACATTTCATAGAGATCTATTTACTTAAACTAAAGTTAGAGTGCGAAAACCAATGTGTCTTCGGACGACGACGACGACGACGCCAACGTCATACCAATATACGACCACAAAATTTTTTGCGGTCGTACAAAAAACCTAAACTCAAACATTCACTTGTAAACTATGTAAAAGTTTCAAAGTCAATGAACCATGACCAGGAGTGGGCTATATAATCTCCATGGAAAAGAGACTTGCAAATGCCAATACATTTGCATACCAAATATCATTGACTTAACATTAGCAGTTCATCTTAAACTGATCTAATCACCAACTAATACATGTAAACTAAGCAAAAGTTTCAAGGTCAATAGACCATGACTGAGGGGTCGGGGCCAAATATTCTCCATGGAAATGAGATGTGCTAATGCTTATACAACTGAACACCAATTAACATTGGCCTTCCACTAATGGTTCCCCTTGAACTGACCTAATCACAAACTAATACATGTTAACTTAGCAAAATTTTCAAAGTCTATACACCATGACTTAGTGGGCGGAGCAAAAATAATCTCCATGGAAATGAGATATGCCAATGCTTATACAACTGCATACCAAATATCATTGACCTACCACTAGTGGTTCCCCATAAATTGACCTAATCACAAACTAATACATGTAATCTATGAAAAGTTTCAAAGTCAATAGACCTTGACTGAGGGGTGGGGCCAAATAATCTCCATGGTAATGAGATGTGCCAATGCTAATACAACTGCATACCAAATATCATTGACGAGACAAAAATAGCTTAGAAGTAATACTTCATGAACATTGTAGTGTATGTAGCATTAAAATTATGTGAACACAAAGAGGCATAACTGTACTATGGACTTAGTCAAACTTTTTCATAAGAATATTAGTTTGAACACAAACAAAACTTCAATATTTATTGATTTTAGAAACTTCATGTAGATATTTCTTTAAAAACAAAATTGTGTTGCTTATTCTGTGTATTTTTTCAACTTGACAGAAGACAAATATACAATAAAACAATTTTGTTCATGATTTAGATTTACCTTTAGTGTTTTGAATGATTTTATATCAGTCTTTAATTCGTTTCATGAATCATTTGCAAAATTCAAACTGAAATGAAAAGATCATGAAGAGGTTGATGTTTTTATTTTCGTTCTAAAATTAAACATGATAAATGGTGCACAGAATGATCATACCCTACAACTAACTGTCAAACAGAATCATATCCTATATTCTATATATCAAAAAAATGAAAAAACACGCTTTATAATATATATTTCATTCGTCCAAAGTGTTTTTCTGGATTTACCTTCATCAGGAATGCTCAAAGTCGAATATTTGAAAGCTAAGGATGTATAATAACCGAAACAGTTGAAGAGCTATATAACTAATAAAGACCTAAAATAATAACCAGCTCCATCCAAGAGTTAGTTTCTTTATAATTTCTAAATTTATTATCACACATTTTAATAAAGGTTTGTTATCAATCATTTTAGGACCGAAGTATCTAGTTATTTATGTTGTTGAATTGAATGAACTATCTATCCGTATATAAATGTTTTTATTATTGAATGGAATGGAACAACTTGTGCGTATCCCCAACATTCAAAAAGTCAGCTGTTCTGGCAATGTGAAATAAGAAGGAAAACAATGGATTAATGTCTGTCGGTCTTCTCAATAAACATTTTCTGAATTTAATTTGCTATAGCATAATTTGAAAGAAGATAAAAAAAAACTACAGTGTCACTAGGTATTCAAAATTCTATGAAAACCTTATTGCAATCCAGTCAAGATTATGGATACAATTATTTTATTGGACTGATAATAATCTCATATACAATGCAATTTATAAATAACAGAAAACAGTACAAGTCATAGGGGGTCTCATTGGGGGGTTCTGATCTCGGATCCCGCTTACTGTTTTGTCAGATTCCCGTATCCTGCTTACACTATGTGTGTAAGCAATTCTCATTTTTTTTTAATTTCCCATTTCCCGCTAGACTTCATTTCCCGTTTTCACGGCACAATAATTTGACTTTCACATGTCACACCTACAAAAAATCGGCAATCCCGCGTCACGCTTAGACCCCAATGAGACCCACGTCATAAACAATACACATACCAGATTAATGTTGCAGTCTTGTTTCAAATCTGGATGTGGTGTACATTTAAAATAATATATGTTCACCTAAAGAGGCATAACTCTAAATGTAAAACTGTATCATAATTATATAGTTAACATACAGACAAAATACAATCAAGAAATTGTAAGCTTCTTTTTTTCGGATATATAAGAAACTATTGGTTACGAACAAATATTTGTTTAAGAGTTTTGACACAAAGAGAAAATGACAAATACATGATGATTAACAGTGGAAAAGGCATTTGAAACTATAAACTTTCAGGAACTTCCAGTAGATAATTCTTAAAGATTAAAAATTCAATTGCATATTCAGGGTAAATTTTAATGTGGAAGACAACTATAGGATATACAGCATTGCTGCATGGATGAGGTTCATGTTAAGTGATTTTTAAATGTTTTAAATCTGTTTTAAATTCTTTCAATGCTTTAAATACATATATAAACAAAAATGAAAAGATCATAATGAGATTGTTGACTTTCTCTTCCTATAATAATTTGATACATATAAATATACAACTAGACTAACACAAGATATCAAAATAACACACAAAACAATTGATGTAAACCAGGATTCTCTTCTTTTTAATATTAAATGATGCACAGAATCATCATCCTCTTTTACTAACTTTAAAACAGTATCATATCCAATATTCTCCAAATACAGCTGGATTTCTGATTTATAATGTCGGATTTCTCCTTGGAATCTAACTGTCAGTATTTCAATTTTTATTCTATTGAATGGAATAGCCTTCACAATAGATAACTCGTCAATTCCACCAACATCCAAGGCGAAAAAGTCAATTGTTTTTCTCTCAAGTGCTGCCATTATGGAATACAAAGGGAAGCAATGGATTTCTGTCTGTTTGTCTTTCACAGTAAACATTTTCTGAATTGAATACCATATCAACAATTACTTTCAAGTACAAACAATGTATTAATTGACATGCTTTCGTATTTAATTTAGCCTTTCATGTTTGGTTCAAGGGCTACAGATGAATCTTATGTAGATAAAACGCAAGTCTGGCATACCTAATTATATCTTTAATAGCTTACTATTTGGTATGGGTTTTGCTCATTGTTGGAGGCCGTATGGTGACCTATAATTGTTAACTTCTACGTCATTTGATCTAGGGTGGAGAGTTCTTCATATAATTATATATAAGACTGGTAAATGAGTTTTTATGTAAGGATTCTTTGATAGATGAGCACTCTCAAATAGAAAAAAAAATTTCCTCATGATATAACCATGACGTATGCTTTAGGAACAGAGAAACAGGGACAGAGCAAAACGATTCAAAGACAAGTAGCTTGAGATGGAAATTAATGGTCAAAGCAAAAGTTTGAAAATAGCAATAAGTAAACATCTATTTTACATTGAACTTAATGATTTATTCACATTTCAGACTAGACTACCCATGTTGTATATATATTTCATAAATATTTGAATTTCCTAAATTTTGGCTTCAAACCTTCAAAGTAAAGAGGCAGACATTGTGGGCTTCAGTCAAAAGCATTGGCATCTGATTACATATAGTTTGATTTAAACTGTTCACCACTTACAAACTTTATATTATTCCTAAGGAAGGAAATTATTTCTGGAATTCAAATATATTTAAAAATGATTTGTGAAATTACAAATATTTTTTTGATAGAATTTTTAAAAATAATTAAAAAGATATACCTTTACTGGGTGCTCAGCATCACTTAAACAACTGTTCATGATTGCAGCTTTTCTGTGTTTCATTTGAAGAGCTGTGAACTTTTCTGGTTCTGTTGCAATAACTAATCCATTCCACTGCCGTACTCGTTCGAAAAATAATGAAGTGGAACCTTTTTCACCATCTGTAGCACAACATTCAACATAAAATCCGTCCTCCTAATAACATATAAAAGTTTGAAAAAAACATCTTGATATAATTATTATTTAACAGATGAAAAAAAAGTATAAAAGTATGGAACATTTTAACCTCTTTTTAATATATATATATATATAGTCTAAATTGAAAACAACGTTCAAACCTATGATTGCGTTGGATACGTGTGCATGCAAAACAAATTTCTTGTTAGAGGGGTCTAAATACAGCACAAACAACATTTTCCAAAAGACCAAATGAGTGAAAAAGTATATTTTAACAAAATGCATTTGACTAACAGGTCAAACAACGGATGTTCTTAAACCCTGCTGACTGCCATTGGCAATTGCCAAATAAATTGATCACCAGATTTAACAAAATGGATCTTAATATTAATTTAATACCAAACAGAAAACAATTAACTTGCGGAAAGATGGTATTCCACAAACTTGAGCTGCAAAAATGTGTACACCATATCTGGATTTTGACAATTAATGTCTCTTCAGTGATGTTAGGGATTGAAACGGTATTTGGAAGGCCATATAATTTATATATATATACTTTTTATACTATATTTTGATATAGGATGGTGGCTATATATATATATATACATATATGTAAGACTCAGAGGTGCGATGGTCCACACCAAAGTACAATGGTCCTTTTGCTGAAGTGCGATGGTCCACACCAAAGTACAATGGTCCTTTTGCTGAAGTGCGATGGTCCACACCAAAGTACAATGGTCCTTTTGCTGAAGTGCGATGGTCCACACCAAAGTACAATGGTCCTTTTGCTGAAGTGCGATGGTCCACACCAAAGTACAATGGTCCTTTTGCTGAAGTGCGATGGTCCACACCAAAGTACAATGGTCCTTTTGCTGAAGTGCGATGGTCCACACCAAAGTACAATGGTCCTTTTGCTGAAGTGCGATGGTCCACACCGAAGTACAATGGTCCTTTTGCTGAAGTGCGATGGTCCACACCGAAGTACAATGGTCCTTTCCCTGAAGTGTGATGGTTTGGCATGACATTTGAATACTGGGATGTTTTCAAATACAACGTTACTTTGAATACAACAGGAATTCACAGGCAGGAGGATAAGATATTGTAAATGATAGTTTCATGTTAACAAAGGAAAGGAAAGGAAAAAGAAAGTAACGAACGATTCAAGTCCTGAACAGTTTTGAGCAGTGCAGGTGGAGGTTACAAAAATATGTAAAACCAAATCAGGCAGCAAATCCTGGGGGCAAAGCGGTTGAAAGATGAACTTGGTCTGCAGATGGGCTAACTAGTGTTTGGAAATATGCCACAAACTTTTTGTACCACAAATAAAATATATTGCTCTAAATATTAATTTTGACTCCTCTTCAAGTATGCTTCACATGATTTTTTGTGGACAATTAAATAGTAAAATTAATTATTAGGCTTTGTTTTATTTTTTAGTTTTTAGTTATATCAAGTTGAGATAAATCCTGCTTTGTGAGAAGACTGGCACTCTAGCCTACTTTTATTGTGGTTACAGTGTTAATCTTCTACCACAAGTTAGGCCAAAATAAACCCGACTGGTCCCTATGTGTGAAACCCATTTTCTCCTGTTCAGCATAGAAGCAGCTAATTTTAAAGTTTTTGGTGGAACATGTGACACGCCTCGACATAAATCAACCATAAATGTACTTGACTGGTTTTTGTTCTCTTTAAAACTGTTATGACATCAGATAAATGGATGAATGAGTGTCGTAATTATCAGCTATGACATGACGAGAACAAGTTACATTTGATAAAATGAGATGGACCCTGCTTAGTACTATAGACTAACATGCTAATTTTTTTAGTATCGCACTTGAACACTCCATATAAAGACTTGTCCTCCCACTCGAAACATTATACTTAATCTGAGCCACCCAGTCTATTTTCTGGTTCCATACTGCTGCATGCTAGGCGGAGAATTAGAAAATTTAAGTTTTAAAGTCTTTGGTTTCACCAGATTAAATATCAAAATCGACCTTCCAAATTAGAGGCTAGCATGCTAACCAATACAACACCACTACAGATCTTACTTCAGACCATTGCATTAGTTTAGCTAGAATACAACATCGCACTCCAACATAAAAATCAACGTCAACATCACAGTTAGACCATCGCACTTCAACGTAGCTATATAATAACAAGTTAGCATCACAATGTCACCATCGCACTTCAACATGGACGATCGCACTTCAGTGTGACCATCGCAATTCGGAGTACTATCACGGTTCAGAGTCCTATATATATATGTTCTATGAAATCTTCCTTTGATCATGTTGTAAGAATATTGTTAAGGATGAAACAGGCTTAAGGCAAACGGTGTTACTGGGGTAATTTTAATAATGACTTCCCACTATGGCATTGTTTAGGCTGGGTTAATGAAATTTTGCCATGAATGGTGTCAACATTCCAAATGGGGTTTGATCAAGCATACTTCAGACACTTATATTGTTTTAAACCTCTTTAAAATGCCTTGAAAAATATATACTTAAATCATTTCTTTATGCATAAATTAGTGTAATATTAGTTTTGTTTTGTTTTTTTGTTGTTTTTTTTTTTTTGGGGGGGGGGGGAATTGTAATTTCTATAACAGATATAGTTAACACCTGTTTCTATTAAAGATCATAATTATAATATAAGGAAAATTCTGTTCTAAACTCTTTTCTCCCTTTAATTTTGCTTGTTATAAATTTCGTCTATTTTTTAATTTTTGAGTTGCCTTTGCTGTTGTAAAATAAAAACTTGATGATCAGACAGATGCACTCAAAGACACACTAACCTTAAATCTTAAGATATTGTCAACTGCAGCTGACTGACCGCCAGAAACATCAAACAAGTCTTTATTATCTAGTCTATACCCTTCCAGAGTTGGCTGATAAATGATATAGTTTCTAATAATAGCTATCATTTGTTTATCATACATGGCAGCCTGTTGATCGATCAGTTCTTGTGTTGTTCGTCTAATATTAAAGTGTGGATCAACTGTTTGTTCGAATGTGTCTGGCTTGAAATCTTGGTGTTTAATTAGCTTGCGTCTTGTGTATGGATATAATGGTGTTAATGCTTTCATACTAAGTTGAGCTTCACTGGAAGATGTATAATGTAGGTATATAAATAAAAGGATAAAGAAGATTGTAACCGATACTATTATTAAAGGAATGCTGGATTTATTGCCTCTCATCGTTGGAACAAAGTCATCTGGCCCTGAAATAGTAAAAACAAAAATTTTAAATCTAAAATTGTATTGTGTGTAATGGAAAAAACTAAATCCTCTGAAGATAGCCTTTATTGTTTTACTCTTACAATCAGAATATCAATGACATAAAGTATAATTAGAAGTAGATAATCAAGGAAGTTTCTTCAGTCCTACAAATACAACTTCTTCATGATTGCATCTTGACTATAAGCTATTTTATTTAACCAACACAATAGTCATGGAAACATAACAGTTGTTACAGGGGTGTTTCATCTTCTTGAATTACTGTGAGGCTTCAGCACAATAAGTTAAAAAACCGGGGTCAGACCTATAATCCAACAGTCCCATAATCCGACAGTCCTGTAGTCCGACAGTCCTATAATCTGACAACCCGATAGTCCGACAGTCCTATAATCTGACAGCTCGATAGTCCGACGCGCAGTCACTTGTCTCTGAAATATATGCCTATATAGACATTTAACATTTGAAAATTGATATATTTTTTTACACAGAAAATTATCAAATCAGTCTATATGACGTCTTGTACAGGGCCGCACTGATACCATATGAATCGGATGAAGTTTTGCACCCTACACGTTCGCACCAAAAAGTCCGTTCGTACCCTACACGTTTGGTTTTGTTTCTTTATGAAACAATAAAAAAAAATATTTATAGCAATACACTCACCAAAACTCGATATTTTTTTCATTGCTTCATAATAAATTGACATTCTGAAAATGTTTTTTGTGTTGAATAAATCTACTCCTGTTTTGGTTAGAGAATTGATATTATCATATTTTTTTTTCCCATTGGAAGTACAGCGATTTATATTGCCATGCAAGAGCAGTGATAAGGTATTATTTTGTTGACAGAAAAATTGACGCAATTTAGTTAAGATTTCATCCCAAATCATGAAATATGCAACATCTTCTGAAAGTGTTATTGCATCTTGAAAATTTGAGATAATGACACTATTCCTATTTTATCAAAACTTATTGCTCTTTTAAGAACAAGAGAAAACATAAAAAAAATTATAATCCTATGAACTATCGTGGTATTACTTTAGTGTCCGTTCCTAGCAAAATATACTGTCATGTTTTAAATTCACGATTGAATGAGTGGATGGAAGCTAATAAAACTCTATGCAACGATCAGAACGGTTTTCGTGAGAAAAGAAGTTGCGAAAGGCATATACATATGCTCCATACTGTCATCAATGATAGAAAGATATCGAAACTTTCAACTTTTGTGTGCTTCATAGGTATGCGAAAGGCGTTCGACTCCGTCCCTAGAAATCTTCTTTGTACTTTATTTGGCCTTTTCAACTTTTTTGGATTCGAGCGTCACTGATGAGTCTTTTGTAGATGAAATGTGCATCTGGCGTAAGTACAAAATTTAATCCTGGTATCTATGATGAGTTTATTTGGTATAAAATGTTTAAAGCTGGAATACTTGGAAAGTTCCCTATCTCAATACAATCTCTGTACGATGATGTTAAATGATCCGTTAAAGTTAACGACTGTCTTACACCATGGTTCAACGTCGATTCCGGGGTTAAACAATGATGTTTGATGTCGCCTATTCCTTTTGCAGTGTACATAAATGACCTGGCCGAACGAGTAAACAACTTTAACTGTGGTATTATGATTGACGATATTGCCTTAAGCATACTACTATATGCCGACGACATCGCTGTTATGCGCCGGACGAACACAAACTACAGAGAATGCTAAATGAGGTTGCGTCTTGGTGTGATGACTGGAAACTTGGAGTCAATCGGTCGAAAACCAAAGTATTGCATTAGGTCTAGTTTATGGTAAACCACAAGTGGTAGGTCAATGATATTTGATATGCAGTTGTATTAGCATTGGCACATCTCATTTCCATGGATATTATTTGGCCCTGCCCCCTCAGTCATAGTCTATTGACTTTGAAACTTTTGCTTATTTTACATGTATTAGTTTGTGATTAGGTAAGTGTATGGGGAACCACTAGTGGTAGGTCAATGATACTTGGTATGCAGTTGTATACGCATTGGCATATCTCCTTTCCATGAAAATTATTTGGCTCCGTCCCCTTAGTCATGGTCTACCTACTCTGAAAATGTTGCTAAGTTTACATGTATTAGTTTGTGATTAGGTCAGTTCAAGGGGAACCATTTACGGTAGGCAAATGTTAATTGGTATTCAGTTGTATAAATATTAGCACATCTCATTACCATGGAGAATATTTGGCCCCCCCCCCATCAGTCACAGTCTATCGACTTATAAACTTTTGCTTAGTTTACATGTATTAGTAAATTCAGTGTGAGCCAGGGCTCTGTGTTGAAGACTGTACCTTGACCTATAATGGTTTACTTTTATAAATTGTGACTTGGAAGGAGAGTTATCTCATTGGCACTCATACCACATCTTCCTATATCTATTTAGTTTGTGATTAGATCAGTTTAAGATGAACTGCTAATGTTAAGGCAATGATATTTGGTATGCAAATTTTTTGGCATTTGCAAGTATCGTTCCTATGGAGATTATATAGCCCCACCCCCTCTTCATGGTTCATTGACTTTGAAACTTTTACATAGTTTACAAGTTAATGTTTGTGTTTAGGTTTGTTTAAAGGAATCTTTGCAGCAACACCTCTTCGTGTCGGACCATCAGACTGTCGGATTATTAGACTGTCAGACTATTGGTCTGTCGGACTACTGAACCGTCGGAATTTCGATGTGTCGGATTATAGCTACGCTCCCAAAAAAACATGGCACTGGCTACGGTTACATGGAAATGTAACAATAATATAAAAATTATTGTTACATTGGAGACTAATTGCCGGAATGGAGGGTTGGGTAAGGAACCGATTAATTACGAATGTAACAATAATATTTGGGTCTACGGTTACAGCGAATAAGTATTGATTGTTTTGGTGTTGTTAAAAATCATGACTACTACAGTTTAGTTCAATATTCTACACTATTGATGAATACTTAATGAACTGTTCAATAGAGCATGTACTGTCACGACTGAAGAGATCACAAAATATCTGGACTCTGAAAATGAAAACACTGTTTCCACCAATTTCAATCTGTCGGTAAATGTCAATATTAATAGCTTTCACAATTGACTTGTATTTAAACACCCTAACATGCTTCCAAAAAAAATATTAGTACGAAAATGTAAACATCGCAAGAGTAACAAAATATTTTTCACCTGAAGCATGGCATTCAGACATTGAAAGTTTCTCAAACTTCTTAAAGGGAAAATGCAGAATGGAATTGTACGGTATGCAATATAGAGCGTGCACATTGCTGTATCACTGGTTTGTGATGGCTGCTTAGAGTGGTTTCACCGAAAATGCGTCGGACTAAAACATGCTCCAAAAACAACATACTGGATTTGTAGAAACTGTCATTGTAAATAAAAAATCAAAATATTGTATGCAATATTGTAAATATCAAATAAAATTTTTAAGTTTTATTTTAATACATATTTATTAGTATTCCAATCGTACATTGCAGTGCGTTAATGTAACAATAACGCAATGTAACCGTAGACCCAAATATTATTGTTACATTCGTAATTAATAGTTTCCTTACCCAACCCTGCATTCCGGCAATTAGTCTCCAATGTAACAATAATTTTCATATTATTGTTACATTTCCATGTAACCGTAGCCATTGCAAAAAAACATAGCCAAAAGGAGAGAAAAGATAATTTTTAAAGGATCTTCTTCTTTGCAATATATATATGCAGTCAAAATAATCCTATTCTTCAGTTGAACAACAACATTTTCAATACATAGATTAAACTCCGTTTGGTGAACCAACGCCTGTGTGAATCATTTCGATAGAGTTCCTGAAGTGGATACCTTGGTACGTGGGGTTGTCAAATCATGCAAAGAATGCAACTTTTAAATAATACTCAAAATTGACAACAACACTTCAAATGGTCTGCAATTTTATTTGCTATGGTCTACATGTTTCGCCTGCAGGGCAGGCATCATCAGGACAATTTTCATACAGAAATTAATTACTGAAGTACTCAAAGTGGTACATTGAATTTGACGTTGTCAAGGTGAGAGAAAAAAATAATATGGTGAGCTCTCTCTCTCTCCTTACAAACACTTTTTTAAGTGAGATCAAAGTCATGTACCTAAATTAGTAATCATGAATTCATTATACTGTTATATTCTTTCTGGGAGTCAAAATGTACGATGTTTATGAAGAGGGTCACCGCTTTCTTATATCATTTGAATAATTTCTCTTCGTGAAAAAATCTTAATGAGTTTCTTAGTAAATACCTACGTTGAGTAAGAGTTTATTAGTTCATACACCCATCTGTGCCTAATAAGAAATGGAAGTCTCTGCCCTTTTTAATTTCATCACTTGCATCTTCATCCATAATAATAATTTTATCCGATGCGACTGCTAAAAATAGCACGGTGAACGATCACAAAATACAGATAATAACGAGTATTGATTTATAGTCCGCCAATTTGAACGAATTCTTTCATATCACTTTGTATCATTTAGTTATTCAGGAGTACCTTTTTATTGTCTATTAATATTTTTTTTTAATTCAGTAATGAACATAGCTGATAGAGTGGGGCGCACATATTCGCCGTGGTCACAATTTCGCCGTTTTATGATTTTGAGGTGTAGAAACTTCAAAGGATTGCTTAAATGGAAGAAATATGCCGGTTTATTATATTTTTATAACAAATATGATTATTTTTTAAACTTAGAAAAAAATTCGGCATTTACTGCAAAGGACCGAAAAACGGACGACGATTTTCGGCCAATTTCCTGAATGAAAAAAAAAAAAAGATTTCAAAGAAGTATTTCTTAGTAATTCTATGACTGATTGCCCTAAATTTCAGTTCTTTACACCTTTGAAATGTCTGCTGTTCATCTATAATGAAATTGATTTGATAAATATTGTTTAAAGCTGCAGTTATATGGTTTTAAATAGCCTGATGATGTGTAAAAACGGCGAATATGTGTCCCCTATGACAAAACATCAGGAAATTTCAAATAGCCTTTAATCTAACTTTTCAGATGAATTTTTTCAGAGAAACACTTTTTCAAGCTAAGAATATTTTGCTTTTGATGTTATCTTCATATAGAAATATCAGTATACTTCAAAAGGTCTGAACATAAACTGCAGAAAACATGGAAAATTATTGCGAAAATGAGCACCCCACTCTATTCGCATTAAACATTTTAAAGAACATGTTACTCCTAACAACAAGGAATTTTTTGTCCTGGCTGATAAGGCTGCCAATAATATCATTATCGTTTGACGTAATTTTACATTGCGGTTCTGCAAAAGGAAATCACGAATTCACCAACATTCAAACTGACTCCATTTTCGGAAAATGACATCTGTAACAAACATTAACTTTTAGCGACCTCTTTACAAGAAGAACCAAATACAATGAAAGTTCCAACTATGTACTGGCTTCCGAATCTGCTCACAAAACACCTTACAAATATAGATTTATTTCGTCTTCAAGTCATTGTTCCAATACTAAACTGTCTGTTTTACTTACTAGATATAAGAAGATGTGGTATGAGTGCCAATGAGACAACTCTCCATCCAAGTCAAAATTTATAAAAGTAAACCATTATAGGTCACAGTACGGTCTTCAACACGGAGCCTTGGCTCACGCCGAACAGTAAGCTATAAAGGGCCCCAAAAAATTACTAGTGTAAAACCATTCAAACGAGAAAACCAACGGTCTAATCTATATAAAAAACGAGAAACGAGAAACACTTGGTACAATCAAAAACCTGGTAATAAATTGTTCAAATAAGGCCTTTGAAAATAGTGGAATTAATTACTTTTGGAAGTATTTGATAAATTGCATGCTTATATTGGTGATTTCGAATCTTTTCAAAGTTTTGATTTTTCTACCCTATATACTACTTTGCCTCATAATCTCTTCAAGAAAAAAATCACACATTAATTAAATGGGCATTTAAAAAGTCAGAATGCTAATATATATGTTAAACTCTTTTAGGTCATTTTTTTTAGTAACAACAAACAAAAGAACTATGTCAATTGGACCTGCTTTGATACGATAACTGCACTTAAATTTTTACTAGAAAACATTTGTGTTCGCTATGGAGATTCCGTATATCGTCAAGTTATCGGAATTCCAATGGGGACTAACTGTGCACCACTTCTTGCGGATCTGTTTCTGTATTGTTATGAGTTACAATTTATAACTAAAATCAGTAAAAACCCATCGAAACAACATCTGATACAAAAATTTAATAACACTTTTAGATATTTGGATGATATATTGGCTCTCAATAATGACGACTTCTGTATGTCACTAAAGAGATTTATCCTGCTGAACTGACTTTAACAAAGCTAATACTAACAATGAACACTGTCCTTTCCTGGATCTTGATATCTATATCTTTAACGGGAAGCTTAATACCAAAATTTACGATAAAAGAGATGATTTTTCATTTCCTATTGTTAATTATACATTTTTAGATGGTGACGTCTTATGGTAACTATATATATATAATTTAATTTTGGATGTAACGCGTCTTCTGATTGGCTGACGTTGTTTTGTTTATCAGCTCATAGACATAATTTTGTCATGTGACCGTGACGTCATCAACGTTTTTTTACTGTTTACTCCGGTTTAAAATGGAATTTAGAATTAAATTATAAGAAATGACTGTAATATACTAAATTTTTATCACATCCAATCTTGGTTTTATGGTAATATTCTATACAAAGCACAAAAATGTCGTCATTTACCTCAAAAGCTAACCAAACCTTTAAACAGACTTATTCAGAAGGGATATAGTCACGATGCTGTAGTCAGGTTATTAAAGATGGCATATTTTGGAATTAATATTGATTCACTCATAGGGTCTTTGCATAGGAAATAAACACATTTGATTCTAAAACCAGTTGTTGGCATGATACGGGTTATGTTCTTCTCATATATTTTATGACGGTATGATACTACACCCCTAACGGGAGGGATTGTACTTGATTTTCATAGGATGAATACATAATCTTTCAATCAGTTTAATTGAGGTCTGGAGCTGGCATGTCAGTAACTGCTAGTAGTCCTTGGTTAATTTATGTATCATTGTCATGTTACTTAGTTTCTTCTGTTACCTATTCTGACATCGGACTCGGACTTCTTTTAAACTGAGTTTTACTGTGCGTATTGCCGTGTGTTTGTTTCTTCTACATTGGCTAGAGGTATAGGGGGAGGGTTGAGATCTCACAAAACAAGTTTAACCCCGCCGCATTTTAGCGCTTGGCCCAAGTCAGGAGCCTCTGGCCTTTGTTAGTCTTGTATGTTTTTAAAAATTTTAGTTCATTTATATGTTTCGGAGTTTAGTGTGACGTCCATTTTCACTGAACTAGTACACATTTTTGTTTAGGGGTCAGCTGAAGCCCGCCTCCGGGTGCGGAATTTTCTCGCTGTGTTGAAGACCCATTGGTGGCTTTGGGCTGTTTTCTGCTCTTTGGTCGGCTTGATGTCTCTTTCACACATTCCCCATTTCCATTCTCAATTTTATGTTGTACTTCAAAATTTCAAATCATACCATATTTTATAAATTTCACATAGATATATTGCAATTATCGGATTGTGTTCAAATTTGTCTCAAGTCGGGTTTCCAGTTTGATAAGGTGAAGTTTCCACTGTGCTGGTAAGATAACCTGATCGATCTCTTGAAAAGGCTCAAATATTAGATTGATGCATATTTAATTGGAGTAAATTTACCTAGTTTAATTTGCTCCTTGATACATCTCTATTTTTGATAATAGTTTACATTGCTAAATTATACCATAGATATAATAGTTATTATATCTATGATTATACTTACAATCAAATATTTTTTTTAACTAACCTTGTCCAATGGGTCAGTGTGAACAATACTAAATTGTTATCACTTGAAGTCCGCCGTCTGTCGCCCGTCATTATCGTCCCTTAACTTTTAATTAAATCTTCTTCTATGAAATGCTAGGCCAAATCGAATCAAACTGGGCCACAATTATCCTTGGGATATCTTGTTTTAAAATTGTGTGAAGTGATCAGGCCTTCCGACCAACATGCCCACCAAGGCTACAAATAGAACGTAAGGATAAAATGCAACTATTGTCTGTTATCTTGTAAATGGCTATAGATTGAGAAAGTCTGACAAGTTCAGAGAAATAAGATATACCTAACTAGATATAAGAAGATGTGGTATGAGTGCCAATGAGACAACTCTCCATCCAAGTCAAAATTTATAAAAGTAAACCATTATAGGTCACAGTACGGTCTTCAACACGGAGCCTTGGCTCACGCCGAACAGTAAGCTATAAAGGGCCCCAAAAAATTACTAGTGTAAAACCATTCAAACGGGAAAACCAACGGTCTAATCTATATAAAAACGAGAAACGAGAAACACTTATGAATCACATCAACAGACGACAACTACTGAACATCAGATTCCTGACTTAGGACAGGTGCAAACAAATGCAGCGGGTTTAAACGTTTTAATGGTACCAAACCTTCACCCTTTTTCTGAAACAATAGTGTAACATCACAACATAGAAAGACACAGTATAAAATATCAAATGAAATAGCTTAACTCAATAAAAGGAAACGTCTGTTTAGACCAAAATTTCCAAACGACTCTTTATAGAAGTTATTAAACTTAAACAAACACTTTAGTAGCTAAACAGAACTTCAGACAGCAAAAATTATCAACAAGACAAGATCTACAAATAAGCCACATAGCTGAAATTGTCAGTCCACTTCTTATCGGAGTTATTGTCCTTATATAATGATTTTTAACCCATGTTTGGCACTTTTTTTACGGAAAGGTATAGAAAGAGAGAAACTGAAAACAACAAAGTTATCAACAAAAACGAGAATTTTAGAATTATTTCTAGTCTATAATCTTTGAGAGTGATGCACATAGATCCTGGTAAGCGACACAAGCTCTTTAGAACCTCTTGTTGTTATTTTGTATATTCATATAGTTTACACATGGGTACTTAAAGAGAAATGACCAGTACTAAGAGGCATAGAAAGAATCAGTACTAAGAGATATAGAAATATAATCAGTACTAAGAAGCATATAGTATAAGAATAATAGAAATATTCAGTAATAAGAGTCATAGAAATAATCAATGATAAGAGTTATAAAAATAATCAGTACTAAGAGTAATAGAAATAGTTAGTAGTAAGAGTCATAGAAATAATCTGTACTAAGAGTTTTAGAAAAAATCAGTCTAAGAGTTTTAGAAGTAATCAGTCTAAGAGTTTTAGAAATAATCAGTCTAAGAGTTTTAGAAATAATCAGTACTAAGAGGCATAAAATAATCAGTTCTAAGAGTCGGAGAAATAGTCAGTAATAAGAGTCATAGAAATAATCTATACAAAGAGTTTTAGAAATAATTAGTCTAAGAG